GTCAATCCTTGGACCGCGTCGTGAAAGGACTGTAACCTCTGTGAGGATGGAAAACATATCAGCGAGCACCAAATTGCTGCTCGGCTGCTAGACTGCGAGTGATCGCCTCGGAAAACATATTTAAGGTGTTTGCTGCACGAATATTGTGCTCCATAATCAGCGCAATGTGATCATTGCTTTAATCATCAACTTTCAATAATGAGTGCATCAGAGGTGAGAGGGAAAATTAGATTTCATTAACTTCAAAGCAGAGGTGGGAGGGACATAAGTAATTTAATCGTATGTGAATGTGCACGAGTAAAATATAAACATACACAATCAAGCCTTGATGACCGACTTGTAAGCCAAAATATAGCTCAATAATTGTCAGGTATACACGAATATTAAATCCATGATAATTTAAAATGCCTCTTCGATAAAGTATCACTGTAAAGAAAGCTTTGCAAAGTCCGCGAGTCAATGGCGAAAATGGCGCTTGAAGTGATCAAAATATTAATTAACTTTAGTCAGTTATGGCTGCTATTGGTGCTGTTGACAATTCATCTTTCCTGAATCGTATAGCTTTTTTCTAAAAGCCTTCACCAAACAATTTGATTTGTTGAGTTCCAAAGTGAGAAATTATATTGTCTAGAGATTGCTGTAAAAGTGAGCAACATGGTTCAATTTGTCTCGAATTGTTATGTCGGCACCTTTGTCAATCAAAAATGCCGCACAATCAGTATTACCATGTATCGTTGCACAGTGTAGAGGTGTCCACCCGCTATGATCTACTTGATTCACGTCTGCACCAGCATCCATTAGCACTGCTACTGCCGCACTCATGCCACGACTTGCTGCCCAGTGCAACGCAGATCGACCTTCAGAGCTTGACAACAAAATATTTGCACCGAGCTGTAGAAGCCTCTGGATGATATCAATGTGACCGTTAGCCGCTGCGCACATCAGTGGCGTCCAACCGTGACCATCACGGGCATTGAGATCAAGTAATACCGGTCGTATCTCATTGCTTTCTGATTGTACGGAAGCAATTTCGACAAGAAAGTTGAGCACATCAAGTTGACCGAAGTCAGTTGTATAATGCAAGGCAGACCAACCGGACGCATCACTAGCGTTAGGATTACAACCACGACTGACTAATTCGTTAACAATTTCTAATTGACCCCGACCACAAGCTAAACGAAGTTTCTGCCCGTATTTGTATGCTGGAGCATACACAAGCGCAAATACATTTAGTACCTCTTCTCGAGATAAGCGTTTGATTAGCGGTGAAATAGAAGGCATTTTATCTTCCTTGTCAGCCGCTAAAGAAAGACCAGTGTGCACGGGAAAACACGGCACAACAAGTGTCTCGTATAGATTGTCTGATAACAGTAATCCTGCTCGTCGCAATAACTCAGGCACTTTATCAATCGCGATTCCTTCACCATCAACCGACAGATCATCAGCACCACCAGCGTCAAGTACTTGAGTAAGTAATATGTAATCACGTTCCCGAAGCTCAGTAATGCGAGCCACTTCTATTCTGGCAGGTCCATCAATCACACCGCCACTTGCTGATAAAGTGGTTAGACGCGCCGCTGTAATCAGTTGGTCACCAATCAAAAGAATGGTTTCGTTTTTGGGATTGGTCACATTTGTGATTGTAAGTACCACATTCGTCTTCGATGCTATTGACGTGTCATCTCCATCTACTATAATCTCAAGAGTGTGCTGTTTGCAGTTCCACATTGCCGCAAGATATTTCTCAGGATACATAAACGTTCGAAGCCACACCTTTGGATGTTCATCCATATCCCAACCATGCGGTGGCAACTCCACCAGCAATTTTCCACCTGGAGGTACCTTTCCGCTTACTATAAATGCCAGCTCGACATCGGTTACTACTCCGGGACAGCAATTTAATGGACTCCAGCGTCTGGCTCCACTAATCGCCCCAGGTACGATTTTGGGAATCGTAAATATTGAAGGACCGTCAATGATTTGCCCTCCACGCGTGGACGGCGGAACAGTCTTTCTTGTCACTACTTTTTCAAAAGTTGTGACGATAGCTTCACTTTGCGGTGTCGCCTTTTCGGGTGTGCCAACCCCCGACACGACAAGTTTTATGGGGGTTCCAGCGGGGATAACACTTTCGTTCAAAAGCGTAAATTCCATGATCCGCGCAGTAGAATTCCATGTCATCTGAACCCGCGGCATCGTTTCAGGTGCTTCGTTTTCATCTGAAGATGGTAATCGAATCACAACATTTGGTGGCGGAATCGTCGAAAGAGACCACCCATGATTCGGTAATTGGCACGTCACTCGCGAGTATTGACCCAATGGTCCTGATGTCGTAAAGCTTAGCGAGATATTGCCAACAACACCGGGCGTGGCAAACTCGGGCTCAAATGTTGTGGGACCCTGAAAACAGCCAGCGACAATCTTACGGTGCCGCTGTGCAAGTTGAAGATGCGCTCCTCGCTCTTGCTTAAATGAGCTTTTTCTTCGCATCATGGATATGTATAAATAAATATTAAAAACAAAGTTGGTCAGTTTTATCCATGCCAATGACCTACGGTACAACCCGGTTTGTCTAAAGCTTTTGATCGTCTAGTGTGTTAAGAATTGCTGACATTTTTGGATCTCTTGAGTTCTTAGCTTCTACTTTCTACTATTATTCTTGATTCTCATCTCATCACCTTATGTACGGATATCTAGACGTTATTGAAATCCGCACACTCAACAATTCGAACAATTTCGATAGTATTTTCAATACGTAACACAACTTAGATTTGAAAAATATGCTTGCCTCTACTTCTGGCACATGTCGGCATATTGATTGCCTAAATTGCGTCAATATGTTAGAGGGTTCAAGCTACAAATTGCTGCAAAAGTTTGACCTCCATGTCATCCACACCATTGCTGTATCGCTGCAGAAGTTACAGGCATCGGCTATTTCACGTACGTCTCACCAACGTCTCACTTCGAGAAAAAGTGTCAGACTGTTTTCATCGGCTGATAAGCTGCCCTGAGACTACTTATATGCGAGCGAGCTTTATGAATCTGCACCGCAATCTTGTCGGCTGGACAGCTTTACTACCACCGACCAGTAGATATAAGCACTGTTATGATATCGAAATGATTGAAAAAAAACTTAGAAGTTGTGCCAAGCGTAAAATGATGCTTCCCACACTGCAACCAGCACGTAAGGGGTCTGTTCACAACAGCCCCTTCCAGTTCGACCCAATTCGTAACTATTAGATTGCTTTGATAAGTTGCATGTAACAGGTAGCGCAACAACGAGTACTTGGTCAGAATAAATCATAAGATCCCTTCATATATACTATGTACATTGCGTCTCATATAAATTTGTTGATTCATGCTCTAGTGCCAAAACCAAAATGAAATCCACGCTTGTGCGACGAGGAAGCATTTTCTGACGTATTCCAAATGGGAATCCGTCGTCCTTAGTGTTTAGTGCTTTTTCGGCATTTGACACATAGCAGACGTTTTGAACATCGTTCCCTTGCCTTCATTCAGATTGTAAAGACAGGCCATGTACAGCCAGGCTGGCCAATATAGACACGACAGGTGCAGCGAAACTTAAACCCATTGACACTTTTATACGTGCCAATATATATGCTTAACCTATTATACATGTTGAGGTTACCAGAACGTGAAGATCACCGAGCGATTTGATTCAATATGGCCATCCAAGAGGGTGTCGTGTGTCACGTGCTTATTTGGTTAATTTCTTGTCATGGTTTATCACCACACGTTAGGTGTCTAGTGTGTCAGCGCTATGACTTTGCAAGCTTTAAATAAGCAATAGCACTGCAAACGCGCAATCGCGCGCATTGCGAATGCGGCATCGAAATGTTTAAGCTTCTTTCTTTCCAAAACTTTCAGGGAAGCAGTACATGTTGCATTTCACCTGGATGTTGTATGTTTCGCCTCATCAACCGGCGGCCTCACCATCAAGCAGGCAACAATTTATGGTCGGAAAGATCCGAAAACGCACTTGTCACATTTCGACTTACATTTAAGACCAAACGTATACATTGAAAAGCATTATCATCATCTCGCAATCTTCGTGAGGGGTGTGGTCACGACACCAATGACGCACGATCTGTTTGAATCACAAACCTGTTGGAGCAAGGTAGGTGCACCTTGAACCTGACAAGGACTTACTACACCACAAATATTTCTCAATCATGAACAGACTGGATTCTTTTAGAGAGACTATAACGCATTGGTGCGTTGATAGCCATCGACTTCTACATGATGTAGATCACAACCAACAGCAAATACTAGCGCAGGGATGCAATGTACCATTGGGATAGAGGCACTGATCCAACTAAGATGATTTTTATCTGTTTTATGCCTGTCAATAACCTATACTCTCGACATAGCAAACCTAGATTTAAAGTCTCGTTGATGCCAAAGTCTAATGATCTATTTTTTAAATTGAGTCTGCTCGCAAGTGTCGTCTCCGCATTCAGCTTTCCATACTTTGCGTGACGATGCCTTGAGATATTTATTCATGCATAACAAACTTTTTTATCGTGCGTAGCCTCGATGTAGCCTGATAATTTGACCATCAGACGATCAACCCTTGCTTATGCAACTGACTGTTCGTTTAACATAACGAGCCAATTTCGTAACCAGCAGCTCGGAGTACTGCACTCAGTGAGTGGGAAATTGATGTCTCCCACAAGCGTTCGATGATACCTTTCAACTAGCTTAAAGGCACAAAAAATTGCTGACACTCTGCAGCTCATCCTTTCCGTATTCGGCTTATTATGATCAGGCACAAATTTAAGCTTATCTACAGCATTTCTGACATATACTGTCGATGTCTTGTGGGGACATTGTCATTCTCATCAGATCCGCATCATGCTTTGCTCAGAACAAACGTAATCGATGTCACACGATTCAATTGGTGATGTGCTTTGATGTGTGACGAATAATATGCTATCTGAGATCAAGTCAATTGGACGGCGCACTCCCGATCATAGGTAATTAGGCGCGGCGGAAATTACATCTTGATAAATTTTAAAGAAGTGAGATTAGCATCTTTATATACTTGGAAAAACTGCCATTTTTTCGCGCCTAGTGATCTGCAAATTCTCTCAATGACATACATCGTAATGATGGACGAGGAGAGACTGGTTTACCCATCCACCAGTCGTGGAACAGAGACCGCCGACTCACATCCGTAATTAATTGCCACATCTGGATTTTCTCTGGCTGCCATGACTTAAGGTCATTCTTTCCTAAGTTAGGAGATTCCCACAATTACTCAACAATAGCTTTTGTCTGAGGTCGATACCGCGGCTTAGAACCACTTCTGCTTTCCAAATTCTCAATGCACTAATCATAACAGTTTTAATCAATTAGGATATATACATTCAGCACCGACGCTATCGTACCACCGTGCTCACACATTCGCGCTTTTGCTTCATGACTCGCCGAAGCTTCACCGAGAAAAAAAGTGTGGGGAACTCAAAAAAATCAGTTTCCAGTCAATCCATGATTTTAGGATTGTAGCGCTTAGGCCTCGACAAAGTAAGGATGAGATCACAATGCCAATGTTTCGCGCTGTCATAACCCTCATATTCTTCCTGAGGATGTAACATTTTTCACAAAGCTTTACACTTGTCTCCGTCGCAAAATGCACAATTACTGTGTCCGTATCGTTATTTTCATTGCCTTCTCGCTTAGCTATTTTCGACAGTCGTGTGCAGTAAGCAATTGCACGACTCGACAAAGCCCGGACGTTACTTTTTGTCAGCCAACAAAGCTAGGCTGTGAAACTCATCTTTATCAGAGCCTGTTGCTCCTACTCCTATAGAGGCGTGGCGTCATTGACCACAACTTCCGCAGACCCCGTTTTTTTAAGAAGGCTACCCTGTGCGAATTGGAACTCGATTTTTTTGTTCCCGCTCATGAGTAGTGTATGTATCTACCACGTGGTCTCTAAACTTGAAGACCGCAAGCACGATGCGCTGTTCTTTCGCCCGAAAATGAAGAATGTGATCGCAACTCCGAAATCACTTGTCCAGACAGAGCGATCATCTCTGTCCTTGCTTTCAAATCATTAGCGGCCTCGCGATGGGCGCCATCCATTCTCCCGCCAACGCTGGTGAGCGCCTCTGGACGAGTATTTCCAACTTCTGATCGCCATCTCCCTGACATCTTTGGGATCTTGGGCGATAAATTGTCAAATATCTTGTGTTCTACCCTCACAGAGGTTCCAATTCTTTCACGACGCGGTCATGGGATGTGCTACCAAGTGAATTAGGGTTCCCGAGCATCTTGTATCGAATTAGGGACTCCGTGTTAACAAAGTCAGAAGTGTTGAGTTCGTACACTTTACCTAGAAGTGCTGTCGAAAGCCTTCACTGTAATCAGTCACCCAGGTTGCTCTACTGTCTTAAAAGCGCATACATTTTGGACTAGATATATCTACTTGATACTTAATATAAATTATACCTTATCCAATAGTTACACTATTTTTAGGGCGTTGTGTGAGGCCAAATAGAAATAACTAATTTATGTTTGAAAAACATTAAAAATTCGAAATTCAAGTCAAATTACACAAACGGGTATGTACATTTCATGATATTGTAACTGTTTCGTTGTACGTAAGAGCAACGTGTAGATATAAAATTACACAGTGCGTCTGCCTTAAAACATCGTAGCAATTAATCGCAGTGTGATAGCGTTTCTGAGGTTTCAGGTAGCTGCGCAGTTTTTTAAATGATCAAACAACGCACGAGACGTAGCGTCGTATCTTAGCGATCAAATGATAAGATGGGAGGGAAACATTAAATGCGATCAAATGATAAGATGGGAGGGAAACATTAAATGCACTATAAATTTTATAGTGCTAATGACTTTCGAGAACAATAAACCTGATAAAGATAGTGACGACACATAGTGGGGGTAGGAATTCTCCAGTCACTGGCAAGCCATTGCCGCTAATTGTGAAATAGCTGTTTTTCATAAGTTTTTCTAACGGCGCTATATCAACGGGCGGAACTACCACTTACGCACCATGAGCGAATGCATGTAGTTCGATACGTAGAGGTGATGTAGCAGAATTTTAGATCGAAGTACCTTGTGCGATAGAGTACAAGGCACTTGTAGAAATACGAGGCAGTGTGTGCATAACGCAGTTGAGTGGAACGGGCGAGACATGCAAGCAGCAGCATTTTTAAGGGACAGGATCATTATCTACTACAGCTTTTATGACGAGCACGAGACAATTAGTAGCCGTATTCGGGTCGATGTGTGTAACAAAGCCAGCTACACAAATTATCAACAACGAAACTTGCTTTAATTTTTGTCGACCCGATACTACCTCCGTGTCGTTACCAATGAAGTACAAAGAATCGAGCTTGAGCTTTAACAATGCTGTAGATATGGTACATTTCATTAGGGGGTGAATGAACACTTGCAAGTTATTTCGTAATATTCCACCAACCACATCCAAATTATCTGTATGGGTAGAAGGTCCCCGTCCGTACGTCTGTTCATAAGGAGAGCAGTAAATCCTTCACGGCGCATCCAACGTAAGATGTCTACACTCTAGAAACACCGTTTCAATTCTTGTCTCTTCATCAGTGATATCTTCACCTAAATCTCTAACTTCAAGATTGCTTCTATCTCTGCTTTTTTCTCGAGTAGCAATTTTTGGTACAAACGCGAGGCCTGCGGAAGTGGTCAAAGGCAATACTCTTATGCAGCAGGGAATAACTTACTCATAAATGCCTTATATATTTTGATGAGACGATGATTGATAGATGCCTGCCACTTTTTTGCCCTTGAGAGTCCCTTGGCAAGTTTTGGGATGCCATTTTTTCATCGACTTTGCCCAACACTCTCTCCTCGGAATCGTTAGCTGAAGGCGAAGTAAGCGTGCTCTCGTTAGGTTGATCGTTCAAAGCTACGACACCGTGTATCGCGGCAGTTATGTAGGGGCCAGGACATGCCAGAAAAGCTATACTCGATAATAGCAAGATGCGAAGTCGTATCGAAAGGTAGCGTTTTTCAGCCATGTGTCGTGGACTTGTGCTCGTGGTGGATAAACAGTAAGAGAGTTGTGTTGCAAGTGCAGATGCAAAGCAAATGACGCATGAGAATGGAAAAGTTTCAGATCCTTGGGAACTGCATTTTGGCTTGCACAATCGAACGATTTGAATATGCTAGACTAAAATTGCTGAACACTATCACAGCAAATAATCTAGATAGATACGCTGATAACCCAGATGGCTTTGCTTTTTGTTGTTGTTGCAAAAAGCTGCAAAATTGCAAAGTGGTCGTGTGATGTGTAGACGATGCTCATGATATTGAGATTTGTATCAGAGTCCTACAGCCTAAAATTGAAGATTGCATGGTTGTAAGTACTACGTATTTTTACCCATGCAAGTCTCTAAAATTTATCTGTAAAGGCTAGGTCTGTGGTTGGTTGGTAACAATCACATGATTCAAAATCCAAAGTAAAATAAAAATTATCGACTTCTCCATCGTAACAGGGAGGCCCCACAGTGAACTCTAAAAATCGTGCAATTAAACTTGGTCATTTGACCCAAGTAAAAAATCGCACCTATTACGCTATGCTAATAGTATGTATTTGTTTAATTGTCTGTTTGCAAAAAAACACATCTGCAACATCGTAGTATTAAGCGGCCCTATCTCAGCACTCCCACTCACCGTCAATGCTCTGCACTAGAGTGATCCTAATACCTGCTGTCTTATCAACTCATGCGTCCTAATTTTTGAGCTTCGTCAGCGTTGCCTTTACAGATTGAATATGAGATTTGCATGGGTAAAAGTACGCGACGTAAGCTCAAATCATTTGGTAGTACTTACAACCATACAAACTTTAAACTATTGATACGGTCTTTTTCATCTGTTGAAGCCAGGATACGACACCCTACACCTATTCAAGGACTCTTTAATCTGAATGTCAAGTTCTTTTCACAAGTTCAAGGATCGCACAACCTCTTTGCAATATTGCCGCTTCTAGCAACAAAAACAGCAAAACCATCTGTGTTATGAACACATCTATCTTGATTATTGCTGTAATAGAGTTCAACAATTTGAGTCTAGTATATTCATTATCGTTCGATTGTGCAAGTCAAATGCAGCTTTCAAGATTCTGTGGGGCTTTTACATTTTCATACGCCATTTGCTTTGCATCCATTCCTTGCTACACTTGCAACACAACTCACTTCCTGTTTTCCACCACGAGCACAAGTTCACCACACATGATTGACAAACGCAACCTTTCGACCGGACTTCGCCTCTTGCTATTATCGAGTATAGCTTTTCTGGCATGTCCTGGTCCCTCCACAACAAACGCCGCGATGCACGGTTTCGTAGCTTCGAACAATCAGACTCACGAGAGCACGCTTACTCCGCCTTCAGCTGAAGAATCGGAGGAGAGACTCTTCAACACACTCGAGGAAGAAACGGGTATGCTCACAGCACTTGCTGAGCGACTTCATAAGTCGAAGAACTGGCAGGCATTAGTGAACCATCGTCTCGTCCGATTCTTTGTGCCTCATTGGCAATTGCGTTTTTCCTCTAAATATAAGGAAATTGCCAATGACCTCTTCCGCAAGAACTTTTTCGAACCCTCCGAGCTGAAAAAAATAAATGGGGATCTTCTCAGCAGTAAAGAATTCAAAGAGTACTCGAAACTTTTCGACAGAGCGTTCTCTGATCAGCAACTGGGTATGAAAGCGGAGCGCATGATCGATCCATTGGTCGAAAATGTTGAAGATGGCTTGATCACCTCCATTACACGTGTCAAAGAGGCTGGGAACCCAACGGAATTCGTGCTCGAGCTTGAAAAGGCTATGCTCAACAAATGGGTTAACACAAAGACGCAGGCTGAATTTTTGGAGTTGGATTATGTCAAGAAATTGTTTCAAGATAATCCAAATGGGGCCACGAGTTTGTATAGTAAATTGCAATTGGAAAAAGCTGATGCCTAATATGATGCTTTCGGAAGAAGTTCCAACGAAAATCGCAAAAATCGTGGAGGCTATGCGATCTCCTAAAATCGGTACGTAACTGATGAAGAGACAAGACTCGTAGACTGGCGTTGAAGACGCCGTGAAGGAGTTGCTGCCTTCCATGTACAGACTGGGACCTTCTCACTTTTACAGATTTTTTGAATATAAAATATACGAAATAACGTGTAAATGTTCAGTCCCTTCTCGAATGTACCATTTCGCTAGCTTCTGTGTAGTCATCATCTGTATTTCCTTGGTAGCGACAAGGAGGTGCTATCACGCCGGCAAATATTAGAGCAAGATTTGTTGTAGCTGGCTTTGTTACATCCATAGACCTGAATAATGCATCAACAAGTGGTCTCTTGCTCGTCATAGAAGCTGCAGTAGATAATGACCCTGTCCCTCTCAAATGCCGCTGGGTCTTGCATGTCTCGCCCGTTCCACTCATTTGCCTCATATACACACTGCCCCGGGTATTCTACAATCGATCCAGCGTGCCTTGTACTATAGTGCACAAGATTCTTCGATCTATATTTCTGCTGCATCAACTCATTTTGGGCAACAGAAGCGCTTATCAAAAAACCATTTTCTACAACGATGACAGAAAGCGAAAATGGCTTGCCAGTGACCGAAGAAGATTCAACCCCACTATGTATCGTCACTCTCTGTATGAGTTTATTGCGTTGGCGTGCCAATTGCATTCTGAAAAGTCTTTAGCACTCACTTTCATCTTATTATTTGATCGCATTATTTGTAAATAGCCAGGAATTCAGAAATGACAGGTACGATGCGTTTTAAATCATATTAAAAACTGCGTCACACATCCGTTTTCAGCGAACATGCGTGGGAATACTGGCATTCTAGCCTTCTCGCCACAAGCGACCTGGGATGCCGTACGCACTTTATAATTTTGTATTTCCACGCTGCTCTTTCGTACAGTTACAATACCGTGAATTTTAAATTACCCGTTTGTGTAATTGTGTTGATTCAGAATTCTAAAGATGCTTTTAAAACTTTCAATGGGGTTTTGGACATCAATTAGTTATTGATTTTATTAATCTTCGGCATTGTGGTGCTTCCGAATGGTGAAAAGTCTGTCAAGCAGTGGTCTATGGCTGTCACCCTCACACGTCGCCCTAAAGATAGTTTAACCATTGGATAGAGTATG